ACCCCCACCTCGCTACAACCTCCTTTCAGGGAGTTGTAGAGAGCAATAAGGTCTCACCTCAGCCTCCTCTTCTCCAGACTAAACAACCCCAGCTCCCTCAGCCGCTCCTCATAAGCCTTGTGCTCCAGACCCTTCACCAGCTTCGTTGCCCTTCTCTGGACACGCTCCAGCACCTCGATGTCCTTCTTGTAGTGAGGGGCCCAACACTGAACACAGGATTTGAGGTGGGGCCTCACCAGTGCTGAGTACATGGGCACTATCACCTCCCTGGTCCTGCTGGCCACACTATTCCTGATACAAGCCAGGATGCCATTGGCCTTCTTGGCCACCTGAGCACACTGCTGGCTCATGTTCAGGCGTCTGTCAACCAACACCCCCAGGTCCTTTTCTGCCAGGCAGCTCTCCAGCCACTCTTCCCCAAGCCTGTAGCGTTGCAGGCTTGTAATCCGCATTGCATGGGCAGCTGAAAACAAGTGCCATCTTCATAAATGTAGTATGTTGGGGAACCAAATTCAACTTTGTTGTAATTAAGTTCTCCAAAATCAATGGGAGCCTCCATTATTTCTGCCAGGCTCAAGATTTTTTTAGTAAATATATCTAACTTCCAAAATCTGTCCCTCTGTCATGAATAATATATGCAAGGCTCCCAACAAGCACTTGCTAGATATGAGCTTCGGGGTTTTTTTTCCCATTTTATATGTTCTTCAGTAGGGGAACAGAATAGCTAACAACTTAAGCTGCATTGTGTAGACTTGCCTGAGTGAGATTTGAGCCAGAAGAAGAAGAAATTAGTCCACACAGATATCCATGCTCCTTCCTTTAAAGGAAGCTAATTCCTTTAAAACTGTCTCAGCACTATGAGGCCTCACACCATCTTACCATAAAGGTACGGCCACAGCTCCACCCTTCCTTCCCCTGCAGGCAGCTGACTTGGGACAGTGCCCACTATCTGTGCTAATAGCTCTGCAAACAGTAACGCTCATGTATTGTATAATAAATACCACAGGAAAAAAAAAATGTTCTCTTCAAACACTGAATAGAAATGTAAAAGAAGGGAGAGTACATTGTTGAATGAGCTAGGAAGAATGAGCTATACTCCCTGACTCTGTATTTTCTAGTTTCTGACAAAACTCTTCCCTTTCTGTCTCTCTTGCTTGCGTGTCTGCTGCAGGTTAAAGAAATGGCATAGTTTATCGTTGCCACCCCTCCTGTTCCTGGTCTATGAAAATACACAGGCACTGCTAAAGAATACCCAAGAAAATAGTAGATCTGCACCTCCTAGAACATTTCTGTAACCCAGTGATCTTTATAAATTTTACATAGGTGCAGTAGTATTTCATGTTTGACATAAATATCAGTCATGATATTGCTTCCTCCCTTTTCGGATCCTGAGAGACCTCAACCTTTGCTGAAAATAGTCATGTCTTATCTTGAGTTAAAATAAGTTCAAAACACCACACTGCAGTTTTTAAAAGAAACAAAAGAAATAACGCAAAACCCACACTTTTCCTAGCAATTATACTAATGAATTCAGACTTAACTAAGATCCCGTGAGATGAATGCCTTGAATCGTTAATCAACATGGAGATGCTGTAGCCCTGCATAAACTTTTCAAGTCAACTGCGATTGCTGCCTGCGACTTTAGAGTAGAAGCTGCCTGCAGCATACGCTGTGACAACTGAAGGATGCAGAGGGCAGGGTCGCTTGCAAAGCCAGGAGGGACTGTTATGACCTTCTAGTATGACCTGCTGCAGATCCTTCTCTATGGGTTGCAGCACGTCCCCGAGTAAATTGATCTCTGAACTACAGCTTACATTTTAAGCAAAAATACCAGTCTTGGCTATAAAATTTTAGAATAATAGAGAATCCGTCATAATATTTGCTAAGTGGTTCCAGTGTTTCATTACTCTCACTCTTGAAAATATGGATCTTATTACTAAACTATATTTGTCTCATTTCAGATTTTGCAATTACGGGCTGCAATTAAATCCCTTGCCATCTATTACACATTAGCGGATAGCGCTGTTCGCATCCCAGCCAAGGCTCCTAGATGCCAGCTGAAGTACTAACAAACAAAAAAGGGTACGTTGTAAGCATTGGGTAAGATGTCACACAAAACGTTACCAAACGGCAGCAATCAGATTTTGCTTATCAAGCAGCAATGCCGACAAAACACCATGAGTTTGGACCACTACCACTAATGGGGAGTTACAACAACAACAAATCTACTCAGTGGTGTCTGTGGGGGCTGTCTTACTGTCAACATGTGTCACTAGGTAACTTCTCATGTGCGTTTGTCAGCTTTATTAGCTTTTGCAACTCTATCACAGGTCTTGCAACACCAGCAGTTTTTCTTGAAGCACTATGTAGTAAGGAAGCAACATGTAGTAAGGAAGGAGGATCAAGATCCCATTTTTTAAACTGAATGAATAGTTCTGCTTGACACAGAGTAAAGCTTTGAAAGATGAAACAAGACCCTTTGGGGCTGCTAACGTTTTTCAGCCGATGCCATGGCTACGGTGACTCAGTTTTGAACACCTCCTCGGCAATATTCGCTCTGGACAGAAAATTTCCAGCGGACATCTCGGCTGGGCACCTCCCGAGCACTCACCCGCTGCTGCTGGATCCCGCCTCAGAGCGGCAGCGCCGCCGGCCGCACCGGGAAAGCCGGCCGGGCCCGCGAGGCGTTTCGTCCCGCTCTCGCCGATGACAAAGGGAACAGGTTTGGCTCCGGGGAATGCGGCCGCGGGACACAAACGACCCCAGGCTGGCGCCCCAGCAGGCTCTCCCGGGAGCCTCGCCCAGCGTCCCGAAGACCCCCGCCGAGCGCCCCGGACTTCCCTCAGGAAGCGCCCCCGCCTTCCCACCCCGGCCAACGGCTCGCGGGCGGAGGGAGGGGGCCCCTCCCACGCGCCGCCCGT